TGTTGTCTTTAATTGAAAAGAACGATAAGACTTTTGCACAAAAGCTCCACGAAAGCTTTGGTGGCACAAATCGCTTCACCATCACCGTTAATAATAATTGTAATGGTCCAACAAATTGTTATGGCGATTTAAATTGCAGGCATAGCTTTTGTAAAGCTTTCAGTGGTGGAAAGCTTTCAGTAGCTTCAAGAAGATGTTTAAGAAATGATTTGAAACAAAGACTGGCTTTATGCAGACGTTATTTGCGGCGTAAAAGAAAAAGAAAATTTCAAAAGCTTCAAAGGTCTCCCAGAAAGCTTTATCACATAAGACATCAAGAAGAAGAACAACAACAATTCAAAGAACCATTATTGAGTCAGCCTCCAGAGCTTTTGCAGATATCATTAGAAAATAATGCCACGCCATTTGTAGATTTCCCACAGGTGGCAACACTGGCCCCACACCAGCAGCAGCAACAACAACAAATGACACATCATACAAAATTGCATAATCAACCCGATCTACAACTAAGTCGAAATTTATCTTCTACCTACGAAAGCTTTGTTGAACCACCCCAAAGTGGGATTAGCAGTTGTTTGGAAAAAGTGAACGGCAACACCCACTCGAAGGACCACAGCCATCTACCAGCTATGATGTGGCAAGTGCTCATTTTATGTGTAGTACATTTAAGTTTGACCACAATTGCAACACTGTATGGTCATGTGAAAACCGCATTGTCACAAACCGCACAGCAGATTGCGAGGGCTGTTATTGCTGCCACAACACTGCCAATTATACAAAGAAGACAAAAACAACAGCAACAACAAAAACATGAAACATTATCAGCATCAGAATCAGTAACACCATGGCCCCGACCACCACTACCAGCAGGGTTATCACAAACAGAACAGTCTGCAGCAGCATCATCATCTCCCGCAATAGCAGTAAATGGCGAAGCAGTAGCATCAGGCGGAGGTTCCACCACAACCTCATCATCCATAGTAACGCAAAATAATGCAATTCATGAAAAAATATTCCATGGGAAATTTCCCAGGCCACGAAAAAATCTGATGGAGCTCAAGTTACACACACAACAAGAACAACGCCACTATCAGCAGCAGCTGTCATTGCCCTTGCTAACCGAACACCCACAGCATTATCAGGTGGATACGAACAACAATTTTATCACATGCACCACCAGCAACATTTGCAATGCGGGCAGTAACTGCAGCTCCAGCATCAACACCACCACCACAGTCGCTGCCACCAACACGACCACCACCACCAGCATTTTAACATTGTGGCAACATTGTCATCGTCGCTATCGTCCTCTTCAACTACTACCGTTACTGACAACAAAAGGACTTAATAAATACTCATGGATATTTTTATTAATATATTTGAATTTATCTGCTAAAGGTAAGTGCGAACAAAAACTAATAACAAATTTTCACTGTGTAAAATATTATACGGGGAAGGCAGAAGGGGATTTCTGGGATGGATAGATTTTTATGGGATTTAAAATCGGGAAAAGATTTTTTAAAGATATTGTTCAAGGGCTCATAAGATGCGTGCATTTTTTTACCCTACACAACTATGTTGTCAGGGTATTGTAGCTTTCTGCAGCCTCAAGAGTTTGTAACGCCGCGAAATATTGGTCCTAGACCCACCATCATAATTTGTAAACAAAATACAGGCCACAGTTATGGACCAATCTTCATGAAATTTTGCATGTACGATGGGTTCTAGCCAATTAAGACCCCTATGGATTTTGGTAAGGATCGGTTAATATTTAGAAGATGAAATGGACCAAATACTTCATTATTGTTGGTTTCTCTGATCGATCCAGAGGCCGCAATTATGTCCCGAGCATGGCTAAATTTCACATGGAGAATAATCATGCGTGTTTTGACAAAAATCGGTCAATATTTAGCGGGTCATATGGACACTGACTTTTGTGTGAAAAATTACAAATTTTTGTATTCTATGGTGTATATATTTGACCCTGAAGGACATAGACCCGAAAAGTTGATAGTATATCCAAGAAGAGTGGTTGACTTTAAAATTGATATCAAATATATGGTCGTATGTACTCAGATGTGGGAATTACACTTAAATATTTTCAGGTGCTTATTTACAGAGATATTTTTTAGTAACCCATTACCACACTAGAGGGCGGAAACATAGCTCTGATCGCTTTGAAATTTTCCATTCCAGTTAAGGTCAAGGACAACGCCTATAATTTTCTGTCATGATCATATAATAATTTTGGGATGAAGTGGATCGATAACTTAATTTTTTTGTTGTTGTTTTTTTGAGTTGATCTATTAAGGCCACAATTATAGGCCGAACATCACAACACAACTCACGCTGAAGTAAATCTGGACAAGTAATTAGAGATGTTGGAAGTCGTGTTCCTACGATAATATCCAAACAGGATCATCTTCATGATTAGACGAAGACACAACCAAATGTTGAGGATGCAGAATTTGGTTGTGTCTTCGCCTCCTCATGAAGATAATCCTGTGGTGTCCTGATTATACGCCTAGTTTCAGTTTTTAGGTCGACGTTCTCGCAAGTCTAAATTCCAATTTCTTTATCGCTTATATTCGTAATTGGGTGAATTAATTGATAAAAGTTCAACAATTCCACCTACGCAGTTGTCCAAGATCTGCCAGCCATCGACATGAGGAATTCTGTCCAACTTCTCAGGTCTTCTCAAATAAGAATGGCTTCCTCAGACGAAATGTCTGGCGAATGTTATATCAACATTCTTGATGTAATTAGGAGGTGGGAATCTTTTCCCCATCACACATTATGTCCAGCGGGAACTTTATTTCAGCCGCCCAAGTAATGAGCAGTGTGGCTGTGAATTTGGTGGTGGATATTTTCATATTTGACCCTAACGATTCACTTCTGCTGGCATCTTTCGAAAGCTTCAGTAACGGGTCCACCCAGTGGACCAAGTCCTGTCAGCCATTGACATGAGGACTTCTGTCCAACTTCTCCGGTCTTCTCAAATAAGAGTGGCTTCCTCAGACGAAATGTCTGGTGAATGTTATATCAACATTCTTGATGTAATTGGAGGTCGGAATATTTTCCCCATCGAACATTATGTTCAGCGAGAACTTTATTTCAGCCGCCCAATGAGCAGTGTGGCTGAGAATTTGGTGGTGGATATTTTCATATTCGACTCTAACGATTCACCTTTGCTGGCATCTTTCGTATGCTTCAGTAGCGGGTCCACCCAGCGGTCCAAGTTCTGCCAGCCATCGACATGAGGAATTCTGTCCAACTTCTCAACTCTTCTCAAATAAGGATGGCTTCCTCAGACGAAATGTCTGGAGAATGTTATATCAATATTCTTGATGTAATTGGAGGTCGGAATCTTTTCCCCATCGAACATTATGTTCAGCGCGAAGTTTATTTCAGCCGCCGAAGTAGTGAGCTGTGGTGGATATTTTCATATTCGACCCTAACGATTCACCTCTACTGGCATCTTTCGTAAGTTTCAGTAGCGGGACCACCCAGCCTACTTTCAGAGCTTCAGGTGGGCTTCAATATTCAGAGCTTCAGTATTCAGGTGGGTGGTAAACGAAAAATCGCTCATTAAATCTAATTTAAAATATTCATAACCCAGTAAGGAAAGTTCAAAAGTCGGGCCAGGCCGACTATATGATACCCTTCACCACTATGGGTACATACAAGAGGCGCTAATATATGCAATATCCTGTGAAATTTAATCAGGCGAAATTACATAGATATTTAACCTATTATAAAACCCCATAGACGTAGGCTCCTCGGTGAACAATTACGTAAAATCCGACGAATATGTATATGGCAGATATATCTAAATCGATTTTCATGAAATACCCAATTTCTTGCAAATCGTATGATATATAGGGGCTTTGCTGCATCATTAATTTTAAATCTGACGAAAGTATATATGGGAGCTATATTTACTGTGCCAAACTTTGAGGAAATCGAAAGAGATATAGATACTTTTGATTTCAAAACATCGGAATCACAAAAATCGAAACACCAAACTTTGAGGAAATAGAAAGATATATAAGGACTTTGTTGCACCATCTACTTAAAATCGTACAAAAAAAAAAAAAAAAAAAAAAAAAAAAAATATATATATATATATATATAGGAGCTATATCAAACTTTTAACCGATTTTCACGAAACTTAGCGCACATCATTCCAGACTCAATTAAGTGCTCTGTGGCAAATTTTGTGAAAATCGAGTGATACATAAGGACTCTCGTGCACCATTTACCTCAAAGCGGACGAAAATATATATGGGCACTATATCTAAATCTGAACCGATTTTCACGAAACTTAGCGCACATCATTCCAGACTCAATTAAGTGCTCTGTGGCAAATTTTGTGAAAATCGAGTGATACATAAGGACTCTCGTGCACCATTTACCTCAAAGCGGACGAAAATATATATGGGCACTATATCTAAATCTGAACCGATTTTCACGAACACATCCTTCTTGACTCAATTAAGTGCGCTGTGCAAAATTTCGTGCAAATCGAAAGATATATAGGGACTTTGAGGCACCATTTACCTGAAATCGGACGAAATTATATATGGGAGCTATATCTAAATTTGTACCGATTTTCACGAAACTTAGCACACATCCTTCTTGACTCAATATATATATATATTTCGTGCAAATCGAAAGATATATAGGGGCTTTGGGGCACCATTTACCTGAAATCGGACGAAAATATATACGGGAGCTATATCTAAATCTGAAACGATTTTCCTCAATTTCAATAGGATTCGTCCTTGGGCCAAATAAGTGACTTGTGCCAAATTTCATCCAAATCGTATTATAAATGCCACCTGTTCTTTGTTTGCAATTTAACATCTACAGATATTAACGATACCCTATACAACCACCACGGAACTCTAACTTTTTGCGGAATTTTATTCCGAGCCTGGGCAATATTTCGTGATGGTTGCACCCTCTTGCCCGATTAGAGGTCAACAGCACCGCTTCCTTACACTGACATATTTTCAGAATATTACTAATATTCAGTACAGTCATTGTCCATATTCCCTTTTCCGTGATGTTCGGCTTATAATTGTGGCCTATATATCGTCTCGAAAAAAAAACAAAATTAAGTTTTCGGTCCACTTCATTCCAAAATTACTATCTGATCATCACCGAACATTATAAGCGTAGTCCTTGACCATACCTGGATCCTCATGGAAAATTCCAGCGATAAGCGCTATATTTCCGCTCTCCAGTGTGATAATAGTTTACTAAATAATATCTGAATATGTAAGCACCTGTAAATATTTATGCGTAACTCCCACATCCGAATATATACGACAATATAATTAGTGTCAATTTAAAGGCCAACCACTCCTCTTGGATATACTATCGACTTCCCGGATATATGCCGTTCAGGTGTAAATATATACAAATTTTGTAGTTTTACATCCAAAAGTCAGGATCCATTTGACCCGCTAAATATTGACCGATCTTTATCAAAACAGGCATGCTTATTTCTTGGTCCAATCCCCTTCTCCATGTGAACATTCGCGATATTTGACCCAAAATTGCGGCCTCGGGAGCGACCAGAAAACCCGACAAAAAATTAGTATTTGGTCCATTTCATCCTCTGAATATTAACCGATCTTTACCAAAAACAATAGGGGTCATCATTGGGCAGAACCCATCCTACATTCAAAATTTCGTGAAGTGTTCTGTATCGTGTTTACAAATTATAATAGACAGACGGACGGACTAGATAGACTCAGCTAGTCGAGATATGACGATCTGTATACATAAAGGTGGGTCCAGAACCAATATTTCGCGGCGTTACAAACTCTTGGGGCTGCACAAAGCTATGATACCCTGACAACATAGTTGTGTAGGGTATAAAAATTAAGGCGTGTATTTTTATACCCTACAGGCCTTGTATAGGCCTTGAAAAATTATTCTTTGAAAAATCCACGCCTCATATAGGTCCCCATAAAATATTATTTAACAATAGAATAGGCCTTGAAAAAATATTCTTTAAAAAAGCCGCGGCTTATATGAAAATATATTATTTTAAAATATTTGAAAAAATTTTATCCTTTAATATATCCTTTAATATATCTTTAATATATCCACGCCTCATATAGGTCTCCATAAACTATTGTTTAAAGATAGAATCGTGTTAATGTACCTATCATTCTATCCTTTTATTAATTCAGCCCGGGTTATGATGTTGCATCCGCCTTTAATGCATTTTAAAACTACGCCACATTTATTATTATTCGGAATATTCTATTAGGCCATTCCTTCGGATGATGACGATGATGATTCCAATAAATCCTCCGTTTGCCAGATATTCATCATCAATGTTTTATGGATTTTTAGCCTATTTGCCAGGCAGCCTGCCAGCC